TTCAAACCCACCAGCCACTCCTCGGAAGGAAGGTTGGGCAATCCTACTTCTGTAGTGATACTGCCTCAGAAACCCAAGGAGGGGTCGCTATGAGTCGGGAGCGACTCGACGGCAAATAACAGCAACATACCTGAAATAAGCTTTATTCCTATGAATGCAGATTTCCAAAGTGCGTTAAATAAAAGGTGAAAGATTTACATGGTCTGAAGAGAAACCAGAGACACATGGAAACAAGTAGTCCGAGGGACTCGTGGACCATGAGAACCTCAGCCTATGAGACCATGAAGAAGAACCATGAGACCAGAAGAACTAGATGGTGCCTGGCTACCACTGTCAACCATTTGGAAAGGGATCAGTCCAGGATATCAAGGACAGACTGGGAGAACAATGTGGAACTAAATACAAAATCATTTTTAGAAAAAGGACCAGGTTTACTGGTCTGATAGCGTCTGGTAAGAACCCGGAGACTATGCACCCTAGTTACCCTTCACATCTGGAACTGAACTCACTCCTGGGGCTTCCAGCCAAACAACAGACAGGCATATGAGGTGAACATTTACCTCAGATAAACACACTCCTGAGAATGATCAATCGATCGATCGTGGGAGAACAGAAGGGCAGTATTTGCACAGGGAGATGGCTCTGGGAGCATGAATGCATAGGAAGAAAGAACACAGGGGAGAGGCAACTACAGGGAGGAAATGAGAAGAGAGATGTTCCATTGTGAGGAATTGCAGTCAATGTCATGAAACAAAATATGTATAAGCTGCTATATGGAAAATCAATTTACTCCATAAACTTTCACCCAACACAATAAAAATTTAAATTAATAAAAAAATTGCATTATATAAATACCAGCCCCTCTCAGGATTTGGAAGTTATGGTTTCTTCACAGAGTGCTTCATGAAATTATTTTGTCATTGTTTTTGAGTAGCTGTTTCAAGACATCCACGTTGAGACAAATCAAGGACCCCAACCATCCATACCACAGAGAACTGTCAGTAATACAAAGATATTTTTAAGGCAGAATTTTAAAACTAAGTTAACTCCCAGCAAAATATTACAAGATTAGGAACTTTCACCCATTCTTCATTTTTCTACTTCTCATCTACACAGCTGGTGAAGCGTATTTGGTTCCCCTCATACATGGCCCAAGCTCGTTTCTTTTTCCATTCAGAATTAGCTCCTTGACTTCAGGACAGACAGTGTTAGATGAAAGGGGAGTTCATGTTTGCCCTGGCTGGGAAGGGAGCCAAGAGGATGGTCAACAACCGTCAAAGCTAAGAGAAACGCACCCCGTCCTCATTGCCTTTCCCCACAGCAAAGGCCTCTGCACTTATAACTCAGTTAACCTTCCAGAATGTTCCAGGAATATTCTATGACTGCAGCACTGTCCTGTTCTTCTACTAAGACAGCAATGTATGTGCCTCAAACTGAAGTCTGAAAGGAAATCCCAAATGAAAATACCTCCCTCCCTTCACTTCAAAGACCTCACACAGGATGACTCTCACAAATTTATGTTGTCCACTAGTGTAACAAGAGACAATCATTTCTTAGAATGAATTTCAATTTTATGCTTGTCCTCAATTCAACCGAATTTTTCTTTTATTTTCCCACTTATGTAAATCGCTATAGGATTTGGGTGAGTCCTGTCACTATAATGCTATTTTATAGCTAGATCTTGGCCACTAAGTCATCTCCTGTCACCTTATCCTCTGTTAGCCATGATATTGAAGGAAAGTTCCCTACCTTTCGCTGAGGCTTCTCCACAACTGTGCACCTGTAACAAGAAGTAGTAAAATGTGAAATTTAACCAAGGTACATTTCTCCTGAGGCATTTTTTTTTTCAATTTAGAAGTATTCCAAGCAACTTAAATTTGAATGCTTACTTAGCTCTTCAAATTCTAGAAACTAGCAAATCATACAATGTATATGTATACATCCATGGCTAATTTAGAGAATTAATTAGTCAGTAAATATTTATTGAGATTCTATTATATACAAAATATCTTGGATACGTTCTTAGAAGAACAAGTGGGGCAAAGCCATCAGGCCTAGCTTTTACCAGTGGAACATCTACTGTAGTAACAAACACACAAACAGCAAAAGACAAAATAAATAAATGGGACTTCATAAAAATTAAAAACTTTCGTTCATCAATAGACTTTATCAAAAAGGTAAAAACACAAGCTATCAACTGGGAGACTATCATCAGAAACCATTTATCCAGCAAGAATCTAACAATCAAACTATATTTTTAAAAATTTTCACAACTTCACAGGGGACACCAAGCTCAAGTGGCATAACATAATACACAAAACATTGTTCCAACTCCTACTTTGGTGAGTAGCAACTGGGATCTTAAAAGCTTACAAGCAGCCATCTAGATGCATAGATGGGTCTCTCCTTGTCCAAAGCAAAGAAGAATGAAGAAAACCAAAGACACATGGAAATAATTAGTCCTAACGACTGGTACACCATGCAATCCTCAGCCTATATGACTATGAAACCAGAAGAACTAGATGGTGCCTGGTTACCACTGTCAACCACTTGGTGGGGGATCTATGTCAGAGATCCTGGATAGAGAGGGAGAACAATATGGAAAAAAACTCAAAATCATTTGGGGAAAAAAAGGCGGCGGGGGGGGACCAGATTTGCTGGCCCGATAGAGCCTGGTGGATCTACTGAGACTATGGCCCCTAGCTGCCCTTCAGGTCTGGAAATGAACCCACACCTTTGGCTTACAGCCAAACAAAAGACAGGTATAGGAGTTGAAAATTTACCTGAGGTAGATACACTCCTTGGAAAGAACAATCATGGGAGAAAGAAGGGCTGTTTATGCACAGGGAGACAGCTCAGGGGGTGGGGGTGCATGGAGGGATGGATATAGGGAAGAGGTGACTGTCAGGAAGAAGTGGGAGGGGAGCTGTTGCATTGTGGAGAACTGTGATCAATGCCATGAGACAAAGTGTATGTGAACTGCTGTATGGAAAGTGAATTTGCTCTGTAAATTTTCACCCAAATCACAATAAAAAAATAAAAATAAAATTTTATTTTGAGAACTTAACAACAAAAAGACAAATAACTCAATCATAAAGTGGCAAAGGACTTGAATAGATATTTCCCCAAACAGAACATTCAAATGGCTGCCAAATACACAAAAATATACTTGGTGTCATTAGCCATCAGAGGTACACAAATCAAATCCACACTGAGACACAATTTTACTCCCACTAGGATGACAAAGGAGCTCTTGTGGTACAGAGGTTAAAGCATCTGGCTGCGAACCAAAAGGCTGCCAGTTCAAATCTACCAGCATCTCCACAAAAGGAGGACAAAGCAATCAATCAACTTCCATGAAGATCTACCACCTTGAAAACCCAACAGGGGCCTCTGTGAGTCAGGATCTACTCAATGGCATTGAGTTGGGGTTTTTTCTTTGTTGTTGTTAGGTGTCATCTTGTCATTTTGACTCACAGTGAGCTCATGTACAACAGAAGGAAACACGGCCCGGTCCTGTGCCACCCTCACAGCCGATGCTACGCCTGAGCCCATTGTTACAGCCACTGTGTCAATCCATCTCATTGAGACTGTTCCTCTTTGTCACTTTTATCCACTGCACCAAGCATGATGTCCTTCTTCAAAGACTAGGCCCACTTGATAACAAAGTACATGAGACAAAGTCTTGCCATCCTTGCTCCTAAGGAGCATTTGGGCTGTACTTCCTCCAAGACAGATTTCTTTGTTCTTCTAGCAGTCTATGGTATATTCAATATTCTTCACCAATGTCACAATTATGCATTAATTCTTCTTTGGTGTTCCTTATTCATTTGCCAGCTCTCACATGCATATGAGGTTACTGAATAGAGCATGGCTGGGGTCAGTGACATCTTTCCTCTTAACACTTTAAAGATGTCTTTTGCAGTATTGATTTGGGTGAAGAGAAGGGCAACATACTAAATGTGAGTGATCAACACAGTGGCATTGAGGAAGAAGACATAGAGAGGTGCATGGGAGGTACATACAACAAAGATGAACCCTTTTGTACTGAACCCATATAGTACTGCATTGTCAGTGAAGGCAAACGTGGATATAGAGGTGGATACATGTGTGCACAGGCTGAACTATTAGATATGTCTATGCAGGGGGTGGTACCCAAGACTATTTATAGGGTTGGCAGACAATGTTTCTACAAGTGTATTTGTATGTTTTCTAAGAACTCCCAAGTAGATAGTAGAGCTGACAAGAAACAAGGGTGTAGTCACTTCTTGGTTAGAGCCAGCTACCCAAAGAGAGAGAGTAGTTGGACATGTGGGCTCCGGACCATAGTAGCAGGGGACATCAAGCTCAACTGGCATAATATACTATACAAAACATTGTTCCACATCCTCCCTTGGCGAGTAGCAACTAGGATCTTAAAAGCTTGCAAGTGGCCATCTAGATGCAATGATTGATCTCTCCTCATCCAGAGCAAACAAGAATGAAGAAAACCAAAGATGCATGGAAACAGTTAGTCCAAGTGACTGGCACACCATGTGATCCACAGCTTATACAACGATGAGACCGAAAGAACTAGAAGGTGCCCAGCTACCACTGTCAACCACACGGAGGGGGATCTATGTAGGAGATCCTGGATAGAGTGGGAGAACAATGTGGAACCAAACTCAAAATCATTTGGGGGGGAAAAA